AATCGACGTCTAAATGTTTTACTGTGCTTGCACCTGATGATGCAATTAGTCTTCATCATTCGCACATCCATCAAAACCGGGCGGGCGCGCTCAGTAAATTTTTAATCGGCGTTTTCGCAGATGGAACGATTTTGATTTATAGATAAATTTTTGCGCGTGGATTTGTTGTGTCACCTATCATTTTTTTCTCCACCCTGTTTATGTTGTCACACGTAATGTTCTTTCTGTAAGGCGATTGGGAGTGATTTGGAATATTTTATTTCAAGTATTTCAGTAATATGTAGAGTCTGAAGATTGTTTTTATAATTCGAATAAAATTGTATACACGAGAGATGTTTTCAATAGTCTGGGAATTGTGCATTCGATTCGAACCACATTTGAAGAAATAAAACATTCTGTAGGTTTGATATGAGCACAACGAAGCTTCTGAATGATCGATTTGGAAGCAAATCTTTGATCAATAGTCACAGCTGATTTTGGCAGCCTCTGTTAACCTTGAAAGTGAAAAGGACATAGAATCTTTCAATAATGACAAATTGGTGTATAACATGCATACGTCATTTTCGCGTATGTGAACTGCTACTGGGATTGGTCAATTTTAAACCTCTTTATTTACCAAAGGAATAACTTTTTCCTGCCTTCGACTGCAGTTTTGGCATCTCCATTGTCGTTTCCGTAAGGCATTTCCCGGTGTGACGTGAGTTCTGGATCACCCTGTATACAAACTCACAAAATAGGTATTCCTAGAATAAATTCTAATGCATGGATTCACATCTTTTTTTTTCACAAAAATATACTGACTGAAATATGTTAAGACTTGTCTGTTATGCACCAGCCTGTTATGGACTGCATTGCCTATAAGTTCTGGAGCGTAATTTAATTAGAGCTGCACAATTCCCTGAATTTTGGAAACATCCCCCGCATAGTTTCATTTTTATTCTACAGTCGAATAGGAATAACTGTAGATGTGACATATAAACCATTGCGCATAATACTCTCATGTCTTCAGCTATTTCCTCCAGTCTGTATAAGCACAATTACAATTATATTTTATCAAATATACCTACAAACACAAGATATAATTAATTTCCGACATTATACCATTATGATGTCTATTAAAAATAGCAAAATAAAATCCATTTTGGCATTCGAAAACATCCAATTAGGCACTAAAACCATCATCACACATGCGACAACATTTGATCCGAAATTTCTAAATCGACGTCGCTATATGTACATGTACCTCGACGTAAAAAATGCGCGCAATTTAAGTTAATCCTCTTTTAATTGTCATATCAACAATCCATCATGTCCGTTGACAATGTCTGAATGGAATTTTAAAATCGCAAAATATACGGATCGCTTTTAATGGACGCATAAATTTAAATTTCAATGCGGTCTCGTCGGGGATGTACCTATTTAACTTGCTCGGCGAAGGTATAACAGATGGCTGGATCTGGGTTTTTTTACCATATAAGCCCGCTTTTAATTAGTATATTCAAATAGTAATGCATAATTAGTTTAGTAAATTATTTATTAAAAAATTGTAGTTTTTATGCGACATTGGTTTGATACAACTCCAAAAGCAAGATCAATAAATGTCATAACTTTTGGAGTTTATTTTATAAAAGAGAGTATCATAAATAATGAAAATTATATTAAAAATGCTCTTTCTTTGAACACTTTTTGTATTTATCTAACACTCTCCCATTATTTATACAGGATTAATGCATTATCAGAAGTGTTATCGGTTTATTTCACATTTTATCGGCTCAATGCAAAAGAACCGTTTCATTTTTATATGTAACACTTGAACTCTTTATACTAGGCAGAAGCCGAAGAAAAAAATCGTGATAATTCAATAGGAAATTATTCAGTAGATCTGTTACAAGTCCAGAAACTGTACTGTTATTTTTTTGTATAAATATACAGGCTAGATTGTGATGGGCGAGGGGGAATCGCCGTCGAAAAGGGTGCCTATGGCAGATAGCCTTCTCTTTTGACTGTTCCTCCCTAAACACATGTTATCATGAATAAGGCCCTTTCGGCGCAAATCTACCGTGAAATATGAATAAGCTCGAATGGATTGTTTGACTCACACTATCACCGTCATCTCGATCGTCGGATATTATGTAACAGAAGCATCCGGGTTAATGAATAAATTGAATAACACATAGTTGGGTTAATAAAATAATGGCAAGGTATACCTACTTAAAATAAATATTTTTTTATTTTATAATTACTCTTTAGTTTATTGGAAACTTTAATGATTTAGTTAGAAGTTAGAGAGTATAAGGAAAGAGAGTTAATTGTTTTTTATCAAAAATTAATTTTGTGTAGTTTAAATAAAAAAGCTCAAAATTAGGTTTATATTAGAAATATTCCTACTATCTGTTACCTACTTATTATTACATTAATACCTATTGTTGTTACAGAAAAGTTGAGTACATGTACCTAAGGTAAATCACCATCAGATGAAATTTTTAAAACTTTAACATAACCATCATTTAAAATATCAATAATTATTAGTCAATTTAGAAAATTTTACTATATTGCTATTACTATATTGCTTTTTATAAGAATTTTCAAAATACGTTACAAAAGTTACAATAAGTTACAAAATAAATTTGATGATTTTTTTCGAAAAAATTTTCTAGATTAGTCGATTTTTAGATAAATTTACAAATAAACTTGACGATTTTTAAAATTATTTTGCTATACCTATGTAGGTATATTATTAGTCGATTTGTAAGGTGTTTTTTTAATATAGGTACACCTTGGCAAATTCAGCTGGGTAGGTACTTGTGATTTCTGTATCGTTTGATGATTTTCAAGATTTTTTTCTATTTTAGATCAGTTGATTTTTAGATGATTTTCAAATAAATATGACGATTTCTAAAGTTATCTTGCAAAATTAGTCAATATTTATTTTTAAGGTGTTTTAATAACGCCTTTTTCCAAGTAACGTTGACGATTTTTAATTTTTTACTAAATTTTTACTATAACTTTTATAACTTTTATAAACTTCTTTTTACTATTCTCTATAACTTCTTCGGAATGTAACTTTGTTACGTTGGGTTAAAAAACATAAATTTTGGACCCCTTTCTACAACTTCCCTCTCTGTGTCGGTTTTTATGCGGGACACCCCGTAAATATAACTAAATCCACCAAATCCTTATCAACACGCTTAATAAAAATCGTGAAAAAATACCCAAAAAGAAAAACCTCTTTTAACTCTATACATCAAATCCATCTCTCTACAATCAACAAACCCTCTTCCAACCAAACCCCCACACCTTATAACCCAGAAACAAACCCAAAAATTACCAACAAAACAATCTCAAAAAAACGCAACCAACAGCCTAGCCTAGCCTCCTACCGACGACGAAAAGTCAAAGTCAACCTCTCCGCGATCGCCGGCCGTGCGCCCGGCAAAGCCCCGAGTCAACTCCTGCCCGACATCCCGCCGTCCAGTCCAGTGCAGTGCGGTGCAGCGCACAGCGCAGAGGAACGCCAGCCGAGCGAGCGAGCCGACAACGACGCCGGCCGTCGCGTCGCGTGACGCCATGTTGGTTGCCGGGGCCCCTCCTTCGCTCACTTAGCCCGTTGATACACTTCTATTTGGATGGGAGGAGCTATAGTTAGTTTGGTCGTCTGATTGACAACCCGACTTTGATAAGAAAATAAGAATGCACTCTCGGTTCTTGGGCTGGGTTTTTTTTGTTCTTCTTTATTTCTTTTTTGTTGGGGGTTTACTCGGGGCGTCTTGTAGTTTTGGGAGATGGCAGGTGTAGGTGCTCGCGTGGATAATGGAACGGGTCGGGTAATCTCGGTTTGATTGTGTGTAGGTGGATTTTACAGGGTGGGTCAGGGATGCGATAGGCATCGGTTTTGATGATATAATTCAAGGAAGTAGGGAGTAAATTCATAAAATTGTTGAGGAAGGATTGATGTAAAAATGATCCAGAAAATCGATATTTTTTTATTGATGAAAAAAGGAAAAGGAGTTGATTGCGTTAGGTTACTCTGTATAGTAACGTTCCATTGGAAATAAATCTTCATAACTACATCAAAATGGTGGTTCAAAAATAATACAGTAGGTAGTATAGGTAATAAATAATGTTTCCCCAAAAAGAGCGTTTTTAAGACTAAATCTTCCCAATCTTCCCAAGTTCCCAAAAATGTTTCAACAATGTTAAACAAATATTCATAATCGATCCTTTACCTACATATGGAAAAATTATATTATAGCTTTTTAATTATTTAATTTTAAGGATCCTTAATCCTTAGATACCCTCTTAACTAATAAATCCTCACCAACCATTGAAAAACACATATTTAAATAATTAATTTAAAAAAATAAACTGTAAGTAGATATGTCATTCTTTCATATAAACCATCAATATACATCTCTCACACGATACATTTTCATTGAACTAAAAGTGATATATTTCACAACCAAAATTCAAATTTAGATAACTGAAATAACTAAAACTAATACAGAGTTAATATAGAGATTGAATCCAATCCACAGTTCCAATTCCATTGGAAAGCTTTCAACATAGTCTAAAACTATACAGGGTGCGTCACTTAAACCAATAACCATCAATTACCGCATATAAACGAACAATCACATTCACATTTCCCAACCTAAATGACTAAATAACCGTCCACTTACCCACCTCAACTCACCAACAATTCATAAAAAATCGAACTGAAAAAATTTCCAACAATCGAAGAAGCATTACCTTACTATAAACAACCATAATCCTGTATCAATATACAAGAGATGAACTATCCCGTATCGTGATTCCCTTGACTTAGCGCCTTCCAGTCGCCGCCCCCCATCAATAAAACCGTCCGCGACGCCAGATACCGTTCTGAGCGAGAGCGAAAGAGACGGCACGTCGAAAGGGGCGCGTGCGCCCTGCAAGGCGGCGAGGGGCGGGTCCGCGGGCCCCAAAAGACAGAAGATACGGGCCGGCGTCGATCGGAGCGAGCCGGCTATAGCGCACGCTACAAGGCTCCGACGATGATATATAGAGTATACGACTTACAGTTAAACCGCGTTGGGAAGTGGCCCAGATTACAGAGACTTTACAGCATCAAGTCCTAAACCGATATCCTGTTCGGACGCTTAAGCGCTTAAGACTTTTTAATACTTGTAAAAAGGGATATTCCGGCGGCATCGCGGAGTTTTCTGGCGATCGACGTCGATGCGTGAGATATTCCGACGGCGATAGAGGAAAGTCCGGTGCAAAAGGCGGATTTGTCGCGTGGAATTTTCGAGTGGTTCGTTTTTTAGTTGTTTGTTTATTTTTTCGAGAAAGTATTATACCTAAATGGTGTAGTGAAGTCGCTGTGATATAGACTTGTGATTTTGTGCACGTGTGCCGTTTGTGTTTAGGTTCAATGTAAGTTTTTATCTATAAAATATACTTTTATTATATGTGGAATAATATTGGTAACAAATTGTACGCATGCATGAATTAGGTGGATATCTATACTATATCTAATAAAAAAAGCTTGTCAATTTTGAGTAACATGAAGGTATAAATATCTAGATAATTATTAGAGATGCTAGTTAGATTACATCATAAAAAATACATATTTTTTATGTTCTTCTAAATTCCTAAATTATACTCCATCATCTATAATGAATCTAGCATTCAGTATTAGAGTATATGAATATTGGAATATTTATTTTCAATCAGGGAATGGGTAATATGCATGATTTAAAAAATAAACCTATTTTATTTACATTTATTTCACATAAGTGCTTGTTAATTTATAAATAAAATTATTAGTGTTCATATAATAATAGGTATAACCCAAGTATGTACTTAAAATATATAGAGCTTATACCGTCGGATAAGGATTCAAATATGGCGAAAATGATAAAGTTCCAGTGTTTCAAAAGAATTTAAACAATAAAAATTGGTTTAATGTATAGCTTGATTAGATAAAATGATACATATAGGTACTTTTCAATTTATTATTATAAAATTTGATATGGATGATACCTCATACCTACCTATTTTAGATGACAAAATTGCAAGAATTTGTGCAAGAATTTGTTCAATGTATGTTGAACTCTATAAAAAACTATGTTAGAAAAATGTATAAATTTTCTAACTTAAAAGTTTTGAATTGAATTTTATTTCTCATATAATTTCTAAAAGTTCAATGAAAATTAAAACAAGTTCTGATTTTCTTCTTATCAAAATTTTTGCATATGAAATAATAATTACAAACCTCATTTTTTGAAAGTAAGTAAAAGTTCAGCAATGAAAATTTTGTAAGTATAATTTCTTGTATAAAATTACAATTTTAAAAACTTTATCTATAATTTATTCCTATTATAATTCTTATAAAACTCTTCTAAAATTCTTTTTCTTAATTCTTATAATTCCTAATTCTTAAAAACTTCTCTATTTCTAGATTTACTCTCCATCATGAAACTATATTTCAATATATGAATTTGTAACAAATTTAAACATATAAATTAATATATCTACCATCGTGTAAATTTATAGTCTAAAATCTAAAATATATTAAACGAAAATAGTTTAATAATTAAAAAAAATGTATCGATCTTATAGACCACAAAACTTTGCTCCAGGAATATACAACATAATAAATTTTCTGATAAAAAACTTTCAATATTTCCTCTTTCTCAGATAAAAGCAATTTACCTCAATGTAAATAAATCATCCCTAAAATAATAAGGCACTCGTTCACCTATAAAACACGTTTTTTTCTTATTTCACGACGATCAATTCGACCTTATATCCGCGATAATAATCCACAGAGCTCATTTACGTTATTACTGTAAACCGTCAAAAGAGCCGAGCTAAGTCCGGGAGAGTGTTTAAGTTAAGTCTGGGAGCTTTGCCTTCTAGTCCGACACAGATCGACCTGGATTTCTGCACTCAGAACGCCGTTTATACGTATATAAGGCCGCAGATTTTTGGATTTAACGCCCGACGATAACGCGCATTCATTGTTTTAAACGCCCGATTTCATTTTATTAACAAGCGAATCTAATGGAGAAAAAATTATCATTCTTTCTAAGCGATATAATTACATGCAAAATTATATTGCAAACGCACTAACAAAATTGTCAACAAACCAAAAAATATTGCGGTTCAATTAAATAGCACATACGGTTCGTTAGATAACGGATGATTTATTATTGCAAATTAAATGTCTCATCGTCAAAACTGCAGTTAATAGCGGGAGTGCATTTTTTGGACATGCATTATAGATAATGTTTAATAGTTTCTGTACGACATCGTTATTATTTATCGGGGATTTGTGAAGTACACACATTATTTTAATCCATATGAGTATATATTTATAGTTTTTATATATTTGATATACAATTTATTAATAAGGGTCCATTATACTGAGTGAACATGAATCATTGAGATTAATTGAAAAGTTATTGGTAACAAATGTCAACCATTGTGTTAATTGGCAATTTGTCCTGTCAATTTAGTTCCAAATTTGTTATGTATTATCTTCAAATTGAAAATTTTTTGATAATTAATTAATAGGTTGTGTTATTGTGTTTGATGTTAATAAGTTAATTGCTCTCTGTTGTGTTATAGTTAAACCCTTATTTCTTATAGGTCAGGTTATAGACATATTCTTGTGCATTATACTGATATAGAGATACACAAGTATACCTAATCCTTGGAATACAATCGTGTATACAAATTAAAATACACCTAATTTTCTATACACGACATACTTCCCTATAAATTATAATTTAATAGGAGTTTGAATTAAGAATTCCTCTTTACATCAGGTCTTAATAATTTGAAACATAGGCCCCCGTTTTAAAAGGGAAAGTGAGCTCTGCAGCGCCCCGACGAAGTCCGGCGGCGACGGCACTAAAAAGGAGGAGCGGCGAACGGCGGCGGAGCTTTCGCCGTCCCCATAGTATCCGCAAAGCTCTCAGACCGACGCCGCGTCGCGCCGCGACGCTCCTGATCCGATCTAAACCTGGCCAAAGCTGTTTTTAAGCTCCGCAGCTTTTTTCGTGGACTTAAGCGACTTTTGGTCTTTGTTTTCACGTCGCACCTGGATTTACTTACCGACTTTTTAAGCGATCTAAGAGATTTTTGTTCGAGTGATTTTTATGGTCGCTTGATTTGTGATATGTTTGTTCAATTCCGGTGTATAATTTCTTCCTAGTATTTTTTTTAGTTGAATTGTTCTGTGAATTCGGAGGATATAAATGCGAGTACGTTTATGGATGCTAAAGTTAATTTAATGAATTGAAATATATTGTACCTAGAATTTATATTGAATTAGTTCAGTTCAGAAAATTAAGTATAAATATATTTATTTTCATTTCATATAGATAGGTATACCTATCATACTACTTAGATCCAATAAAAATATTAAGTTTATTTATATAAAATTGTTTAGGTATCTACCTATTTTGGGTAATTTGTTTACAATACAATTTTGAATTCATTAATGAAAAAACGATTTATTAATTTGTGTGATACTCAATAATTATAAGGTACATTTAATCTTTAATTCAATAATTTGTCCAATAAAAAAAAATACAATTTGGTAATTTAGACTAAATTATTGACATCAAAATCACTCACTACCAAATATATACAGGGTGATTAATTAATGTTATGTACACTTAGGTATAATTTAATGGGTGATTCTTGGGCTAATTTTGTAAATTAAGGTATATGTTCTCAGAAGTTTGGTTTTCTATATTAAGGGTTTTGTAAAAGTTATATTTTTATCTAGTAATATAAAAAATATACAAAATTAGTTAGTCAAACACAAACAATAATTAATTCAATTTTGTATTACAGCCATCACCAAACTATGCCCTCATCCATCAACTAAACGAACATTATCCAAACCCATCGAAATCGAATCGCAAAAGCGAAATGGAGCGCCTGGAGTCCCTGCAAGACCCGTCGCTGTGCCTGCAGGACCTGGTGACGGGCGTGACGACGTCGTCGGCCAGCTCCGACATCCACGGGCACCACTCGATGCACGAGACCACCGCCTCGGTGAGCTCGGCCATATCGGGCATAATGAGCGGCGCCTCGTCGTCGGTGCTGGGCCACCACGTCGCGACGCACGACTCGCCGCACCATCCGGGCGTCGTGCCGCACACGCCGTCCCTCCACCACGAGCCGCTCGAGAAGCTGAAACGTGGTGAGTTCGTTTCTTCTTGGGGGATTTACCCATCACCTCTCTTATACACTTTAACAGGCACTTTATATCCATTGTTGAGTCATACGCACTATGTCCCAGATGTAGTCAAAGGCTAATTTCAGGAGAATATAGGATGAGTGTGTAAAAAAAATCAACAAACAAGTCAGTGGTGAAAGAATTAAATAAAACTAAAATAGGGCAAAAAACAATGTGAGAGAGTATCAAGAAAAATTATATAGCATAGCCTTTTTCATATAAGAATAATACACGACAGAACAAAATCCCCATCTCTATATTTTCCCAATGATAATCGTTCGATAAGCGAAAACGAACGAGTCGGCTGTAAATAAAAAAATCGTTATCATCCCTATCGATTGGGCTTATCTCAACAGCTGTTTACTTTTTTCAAACGAATACTCACGAAACTCAAATGATGGGACGATTCGAATTTCGAGATACTCTATATTTTATAGCGCCGACAATAAAATTAACGTATTTGCCCATTGTTAAGCCATAAAAGCGTGATGACATTGTTGATTACATAAACGACTAATGTAATGTAATTTCTAAGAGAATTTATTTTATTACCTCATTTTGCATTTTTCATTGCAATTTTTTTAAATCTCAGTTTTTCGGTAATTTTTAGATAATTACAATTCTTCTTTCTTCTTCTTATTCCAATTATTATGTATATTATTATTATCATTAGAATTACATTTAATTTAGGTACCATTATAATATTAATTTTTGTTAAGTCATTTCATCAGCTTTATTATTGGTGATATGAATTAATTATCAAATTATCAAAGAGATTTTTTTTTATTTATATGTATAATTTACTGAACTAACATAATAAATCATCAGAATTTTTGTTAGGAAACTATAGGTACCTACTATCTGCGTTATTTGAATGGCGAATACCGCTAATAAATATTTTTTTCGAGAAACAATAACGTTATAAATCAAGTTTTCAACATCGACTTATTCTCTTCGGCGGGCCGTTAATCGAAGATTTATGGATTCTAATTGACGATAAAATAACTTATCAATTACGGGATTAATTTTTATCAGTCGGTATAAATTTTATGAGGGATAGTAACGACCTGGATTTTTTTATGGGCCGCCATAATTATGTCTATTTGCGAGCGTTTGATCGATTTCACGATAACGTTTTGTATAAAATTTACCAAATTTAAAACAGGACACACTGTATAGGTATACTTAACTCTCCTATACAGGGTGTCCAGCATAAGAACCGATATAGAGCAGAAGCGTGTTGGGGAGCCTAAAATATGATATTTATCCCAATAACTTGATGCAGTCAACTTTTGAATTATCGACGATTTTATAAGTAACATTGATAGTGTACCTACATAACTTTATTTTTATCGTTTTTCATCACCCATCAGTTAAAAAAAATCTGTAACATTTTAAAAAACATCATCCCTAATGAACCCTTTAAAATACATCAATTATAAATCTCTCCTAATTATCGATTATTTCTCTTAGTACACTCATAAGTCATGTATACCAAATTTAGTTGTTTTAAGTTTATTGAGAGAGTTTAAGTATTACTTACTTTTTTATATTTGATGTAAATCTAACTTTAAACTTTTTACTTTCTATTAAATTATGATGGGTTGAACAACCAACATATTGTGAGCTCCCCTGCACGCCCCTGCTCGGTGTCGGTTCTTATGCGAGACACCCTGTATATTTGGGTGAGTAATAAAATAAAAAAAATAGACAATTATAATTCGCTTTTGGCAGGGTGTCAGATCTAAATGGTGTTTGCTTGAGACCAATTTCGAGGCGAGATTAACTCGAATTGTATCGACAGATGTGACTTATTTTTAGGGAAAGGGGTTGACCGCACTATTACACTATCGCACTATTACACTATCTGTTTGGGTACAGAGAGCGAAATTAATGACCTTTCCATATAAACAGGAGGGTCGAGGGAATCGTTTATGATGATAAGCCCAAGAGGGCGCAAATCTATATACCTACCTCTTTTTCCTGCACTTTCGCGGTAAAGTTCTTCAAGAAATAGACTTTTTGATGTGTATTTTTAACAGAAAATTAACTTGCTTTACAAAGATGTGGTTTAACACATTTCTGGATTACTACATTTTCTGGATCAAGTTTTGGATAAGCAAAAACTCCCTAAATATCGGCGCCGAACTACTATTGAAGAGCCAAATAATTTTTTCATTTATTAATTTAATTAATACGGGGCAATAATATTGTCAATACTGAATGTCAATACACCTTGGACTTTTTTTCAGTAAATATAAAATTCCTCAAAAACCGAATGCCGTATATTTTCCATGACGAATGTCGGTTAGCGTTTCTCAATCTTATCATTTCAATGATGTTAACATTATATTTATTTTCGACAATAAATTATATTAGATACAATAAACACGTCTATTGTCAAGAATTTTGATAAGTCAATTAAAAGCGAGAGCAAACAATGAAATCAAACATTTATTTTAGGAGCGAAAAAAGAACGCCAACATGGCAACGTAATTTACTTATTTTTGTACTTATTTGCCCGCTTAAATATTTTCGCAGAAAATTTAATTGCACTGTCATTGTTACTAACCATTTTTAAAAAATTTTCGATTAAAATAAAAAATTCTTATTCCATTGAAATTAATTATAGGTATCAGCACAATTATTAATTTATTTAATCGCTTATTGGACGATTAATTTCCATTATTAAACAGTAGCTAATGTAATTAAGTGCAATTTACTTAAATTAAATTACAGTCAACAAAAATATAAATCAATAATCTTAAAAAATCCAACATAATTCCGAGAGTTAAGAAAATAATACCGTCAAACTATATTTTTAATCCGGCGTTTACATTTATTCGACGATTAGGAAGTCAAATCTTGGGAAGCGGGAAAAATCTCCGAGCAAATAAAGCGCGTAAAAATAAATTAGAAGTACTTTCTCAAAACATGCTGATCCAGGATAATCTTTCGATGCGCTATCAAGTTTTATACCATAATTCCCAAGCATAATTTTAATGATCCCTCTCTAATCCATAGTATTACACTTGTAAGCTCGATCTAAGAGGAATTAACGTCTGGCAAATTTCTTGTCATGTCTCGAAAGGCGTGCGAAAAACCGGTTGTCGAAGAATAAATATACCTATTACACTTTATCAACCCTTTTCGATTAATTTGTGAAAATTAATTATCGATAGATACCTAATCTATCTACCTTATTGGGTAATTTTTAATTTATTGTAATACAGACAGATAGGTTCAAATAAACTATAATTCCCATCATGTTGTACTGTAGATACATACATATTATTTAATTTTCAACGATTTCAAGAGTTTTTTAAATATTTAAAATACTTTCCTATACATACATTTTTGGCGAATTTAATTTTTTTAAATGATTTTCTAACGCTTTTTGACAAGTTCGTTATTAAAAGAGTCTGATTATGAAAAACCCTATGAATTTGTAATATTCATTAGGAATAAATCCTTTACATTGTATAAAAAATAATAAAATACCTACTTACAAATGTTATAGAATCTACTAAAAAATCTTTTAAAATAATGAAAAAATCGTTGAAAATGCCCATAAAATTATTTGTATATCGCTAAATCTATATTAAATTTCAGAATCTGGCAACATTTCAAACCCCTATGGAAACATACCACCAAATTTTTGCACGAAATAATCAAAAATGTCATGTTAACAAATTGGTCACCGCCCTAACGTATGAAACTCGATCCTTTTTTTGGACACGTAAAATTTATCGGTAGATCAACATAATTTCCGAACAAACACACATCACCTATCATCTGGCAAATTAGCCGCATCTTCTGCATATCGGATGTCCTTTTTGTGGCATTATTTATTGAAAACACACCTCAAACAACTCCAATAATTCATCTACGAGTATTTTATTTCATTCAAAAAAAACGCAAGTATTTCATTACATTCCCTCGTATTCCGGGAATCCCCCGTACCCGGGAACAAAACGAACCGATCGCGAAGTAACAAGTGTAAACACAATTGCAGTTGATTATCTAACAAATTCGCCCCCTCTTATCCGAATCTAAACAAAGCGTATTAATTTCTAATACTATATTGATGATATCCGCAGCCCCTTTTTGGCGGCCAATTCATGCGTGCCCCCGCGCTCGCACGACATTCAATACACCGCTGACGGCTCTTTTATGGGCGCCCTGACGATCAATCAAATATTCACCGTGTCTGCCGCGTAAAAAGCGATGACGAACGATGCTGTTCCATTATACCTTTTCCGGCAGGACCGATTTTCCCTTTTGCATTCGCAGGAATTTGTTAATAAAGTACACGCAATACAAAAATAATTATAAATGCTTCTTCTTCTTTCGATTTCTGACCACAGCTACTTAGCTATTCGGTCTAAATGTTTTTGACAAAGCTTTGGCAAACTGTCATTTGACATAAGATAATACTAATCGATTGAACTAAGACTCTTTTTCGATTAATCGAATCTAATGTCACAGTTGTGAATTCGAACTCTTCCGGACATTATAATTATAATTAGTCACCGGAAAATTAGCAAAATGAAAAAGTCTTCGAAAAATGAGAATAATAATACGTATACGAGAGAGTACAAATACAAAAATTACGATTACTCTTTCAATAGTGTAGACAAAACTTGATGCAAATGAGACTAAAAATGTGAGTAAAATATTATAAAAAAATTTCCAGTTACTAACCAATTCAGTCAATGTTAAAGAATCTGCTTAAAAAAATCATTTAAAATAATGAAAAACTAAAAATCGTTGAAAATTTTGACGTTATATTGACATAAAGCTTTGTCAAACTGTCATTTGACATGAGACAATAGTAATCAATATTTTACTAAAGATATTTTTCGATTATTTGAATCTACTGTCAAAGTTATCTTTCAAACTCTTGCGGACATTTATTTGCTATAGTTAACTGCAAAATTACCAAAATGAAGAAATCTCTTCGAAAATAACAAGAATCCGAGAGAAAAAAATACAAATAATTAATCAAATCAGTAAATCGACCACTCCTGTCAACTGTCAATAGTCGAAGCTTTATGATGCAAATGAAATGAGCCTAAAAATGTGAGTACATTTTTTAAAAGATTACCCAAAAAAATCGTGTAATAACTAGGAAGCCGGTTCTGGTTTTATGGACTGCCGTATATCGACGGGGACCTTTTGTAATAGCTCCAGCGAGTTGAAATAATTCGCTAATCTACCGCGAGGGGCGCGTCGATATCATAGCTGAAATGCCGACACTTGTTTCGATTCTCAGGCGTTTTTTCCGCTAATCTCGACCATTTTTCATTCGACATGATTTTTAATGGAACACTTTGCGTTCACGGCTCGACGATCAACCGTCGAATTCATTTAAAATTTCCCTCTCTGGATGGGCGATTTCGAAACGCTCGGTCGCGGAATTAATAATGTATGCTACTCTATCTGTTAAGCAATGTATACTTAAGGGTAGTGTTTGTTGGGAGCGACGTCATTACTCAGCAAGAACTCTCATTGGTTGATAATACGAGTGTGATGATGAGAATGGAGCAATGTGATTGGTTGGACTCGTTGATGTCACTGCTTTTAGTTATAGCATCTAATAATAATCCATTTTGGTATAAAAGCTTAATGAACATTGAATTGGAGGGACCAAAACTGATGTATATTTCTGATACGGGTTTCGGGGACATCAGACAGGAGGGTTGATTCTTGCCGTCAGGACCACAACACGTCCACTAAGCCCTTAATCTCGTCTTCCTTTAGGATTTTAGGAAGTCATTTATCAGTCACATATTAGACCGCCAGGTGGCAGACCCATAAACTAACACTTTGGAACGGATTCCCGGGATTAGCGAGCAAGATTATAAAGTGTTATAGTTTTGATGATGGGGGATGCGTGCGTATTCTTGTACTGTATTTATTACATCACCGAAAAAAGTACATGTAACATTCCGAAAGTACCAGTTGAAATGATTTCGTAAAGTGTTATAATTGATAAAAACAACGACAATGTCGTTCTATCTTTCCAGATATCAAGCTGGTTTTATAACGGGCCGCAATAAAACTATTATTTAAGTAACAATATTTGTGTAAGTAGACGTTAGTCTTTTACAATGTTTATTAAAACGAGCAAATAGCGTGTATTTGAGAAAAACCTTGTTTCTCCAAAAAATTCTATTTATTCAGATCCGTTTTTCTGAGGCAAATATAAAAGCGACAATGCATCCTCGTGCCCGACGTGTACACACGTGAATATGATGATAAATAGTCATTGTCAACACGTGTTTGTTTCTACAATTAAATATGTAATTACGACTTACATAACGATATATTTTTTTGTTTATTTTAAAATGCGTCCACGAAATTCCAATTAACCCGCGCGTTCGTTTAATTCCCGTTTCACCCGGTTCGCACGTCAAAAACATTATTCCATATCTACATATTGTTTAATTAGGTATAGGTATTTTATAGCAGTAAAAAAATGGTGGAATTTAGGGTAAATTAATAGATAGATAATTTGGCACTTTTTTGATAACATAAAAAATAATCAATATTAACAAATTACCAAAAATCATTTCCAGAGTTTCAGATCTTTTAAGTAAAAAATGTTTGTTCAATTATTGTTACAAGTGTCTGAATAATGCTAATAATAGAATACCTATAGTAAAAAATAGATTTTATTTAATTTGAGAGAGTTTTGAGAGAGCAATTTCGGAAATTCCGGTACGCTCAAAAACGACTAAACAAATAATAAAATAACCGTTTTTAACTAAAAATAAAGTACAATCCCGATATCCACGTCCTCTTTGAACTGTTTATCCACTCTCACGGCGTTTTTTACGCGTCTTCGAGCTTATTTTTAGCCCTCTACTTTATTACCACCGACTTCGAGTATTATCCCGAAAGCCACGGAATGTTTATCCAACATCGGAAATTAGTGATGGCTATAATTCACTGTCTTCTCCTCCCACATTAATCGGTGCTAACTGCCTTGTCACCGGAGCCGGGCGCTTTGCTAAACGTTTTTAAAACTTAACATGTGCCACACACGCACACACTGGGTACACGAATTAATCGGATAATTAGAACGCGTAAGCACCTTCTGTCGCTGGGAAAATTAATTTATGCGCCGAGTTGAATGGACATATTTTTGTAAACATTTTTTGTAAATAATGTCCTTTATCATTATAGACCTTAGAAAAATTTTATGTGTTTACTTCACACATCGCTTGTGAGGGATGATTTTGTACATGATTTCTGCATTGAAGATTGTCTATAGTCATTAAACATGGCATGGTTATTTAATATGGTTAATTTGGTTAATTTTGTGGTACAAATGTTGGAATATGGGGCTTGGAAATACAAAAAGAGATGGTTCAAAAACATTCTAAAATTGCTTTGAAGATTGGTTGATTGGTTCATCTTCAAGTTTCATTTTAAATTATATTCTGACAATGAGTCATAAAGTTCTCCTCAATCCGCAATAACCTGCTATCTCAACCTCATCATTAGTACCTAATGAAAAGGTGGTAGATGTAAACAGATGAATTAACCATAAAGTCCCAAACTTTCAGGCACTCTTTCCTAGATGCTTCATAGAAAAAATAAGTAAACTTAAAAAGTTTACCTGTTAGTTCGTCAATATACAAAATATGAAACGCATGAGATTTTATCGAAACACCAAGCAATTTTCCTCTGTTTTTTTTCCAGTTTGGGCGGAGACGGGCGACTTCCGAGACGCCCACAACGGCATGACGGGATCAGCGATGGATCATCCGCAGTTACCTTTTCCCGGTGCGGTCCGGTCGAGAACGCGAGAAAGAAAAGGTACGTATTTGACACATCGCGGGCGTTTATTTGCCCCGTTTTGAACCCGATCGGATTATAAATCAACCGCGAATTTACAATTTCATCTGGCCAACGGGTCACATCAAAGACCGCAGGAAGCGCAAATAAAACGCGTCTTCTAGGCAGGCGTTATTATTTTCGTGTATTTAAGTGAGCCTATTTTATTTACGAATACCGAAAGGACGTTTCATATCGAATTTATTTCCACGCCATCTGCCCGAACGATAAATTAGAAAGCCGTGTAACGAGCGAGCTCCTGTGCTGGGTCGTCAAAAATAATCTTTGTTTATCTCGTGTTTATAAAAAGGCTTTAAGGATGATATTCGGATTCGTTTTCGCCGATTAATAAGTTCCTCGAAGATTTAAATCGAGCTTTTGTAATAGCCATCGCGTCGTTTTATTCAACGTTATTGGTAAATATCGGGGATTTTTTTTTAAATTGACAATAATTGGTGATAAATTGTGTTGCCGATTTGTCATTTTCTATACGCAGTTTTGGCGTTTTTAAGTTGTTTGTATTAACTAAATTGCAACCAATAATGAAATGAATCGATTAAATAAATTTCTGAGTGACAGTGAGTAATTAATATAGATACATAATCGACTATTTTGGATAATTTATCAATATTAATAGTTAGATAATTGACTCTCTTTGATATACTTACACAAATGACTCTTTTTGTGATATAAATAAAAGACTCTTAAATGTAATTAAAAGTTTATTAAGTAGATATATTTAGTATCCATTAAATTGTAGTACCCATATAGACTATAGTCATATATTATAGCTATACCTAGGTATATCAGGTAAATTCCAATATTAATATTGACACAAAATCAATTAAATAATTTCCGCGAGTAACAATTCGTATTTATAGAAATCGACTCTTTTGTATAAGTAATCAATATATTTTAATAGGTATAGATGATTGACTTTCTTATTGGATAATTCTCTATACATAAATGACTCTTAAATGTAATTTAAAAAAATCTGGGTTGTAACTGTCCTTCGAAGGGCGTTGAAGATAGGGCTCACATTTTGATGTTGAAGAATGTCAATTTATTGACAATCATAATTTATTCAATTTATAATTTATACAGTAACCGAAAATAATGAATTTATTCCATTTGGCGTGTTCACCCTGTGAATGGATATATTGAATTTTAGTCACTTTGTATTTCATTTCGAATGAAAGGATCAATTTTATATATATGTTTTTAATAGGATGTAACGTCCTTCCAGCAGCGAGCCGATTCGATTCCCGCGTACATTTCGCCGGGCCTCAGATCGCCCCCTTAATCCCACCCTATATTTGATTGTAAGCCGGCGGGCGACCTTTTTTCGTCGGTGGAGACCGATCGGAAAAAAAGGCCCGCGACAACGGCGGGAAAATAAAACGCGGCGCCGGAGGAAAACCGGCCGCCGTCGCGCTTCCACTTCACTCCGCGTGTTTGAGAAGCTGATTAAAAATTCCGCCCGTTAAGCCCCGGGAAGTGCTCCGGCAAGCGATTGGAAGATTTCGCAATTATTATTTTTCTTTCTTTTCGTTCGTGCGGATGAATGCACGGATGGACGGGGATAGGGATGGAAAGCTGCGCGGCCGCGCGGTTTGTTAATTTTTTTCCTCCGGAATAAAGGCTTTTCTGGCTATTATTCCCCGTATAGGTGGGTTTGAATTTGCATTTGCGTTTCCAACAGTGGCGGAACTGTTATTGAATTAATTAATCGAGAAAAGAATTGAATCAATATGACTATAGAAACATTAAAAACTAGAGACGAAAATTATTGAGTATACTTTAGAGATATTGTGAAAAATTTGATTTTTAGTAAATCATAAACATAAAGAAACATTTAAAAAAATGCAATAAATGCATTATAATTACTAATTCTAAAACTATTTGATTCAATTTGACAATAAAATCTACCGAAGAAAATGAGGAAAAATATTTTTTTAAGATTATTGTCAAAAAAATAATATTTAATGAATGAGGAATTTTTAACGAACGTTTAAAAGTCCTTTCATACATATGTGCCTATTTAAAAAAAAAAAAAAAAATTCATTAAAAAAACTAATAAATAAAGAGTAGAAATAAAGATAAATTTTAAACAAAAATCAACAAAAAATATTTACGGTAGGATCGATTCAAAAAAAAACTCTCATGTAAAGCAAGTATGTACAAATTGCACGTATAGAAATTCAATATCCAGCGTTTATTAAAAATCCGCTGGGCGCAAAATAAAAAATAATTACACGGGCGGAACCCCGCCTACCGAAACACGGCCAAATCGAGTTTTGAGGATTCCTAATTGGCAACCGATTGGTTATGGCGCGTATCACGAAATCGTCGACCATGTTATCGGTGAAATTGATAAGCTAAAAACGCGATAAGATTTCGTTTGAACCGGCACCGCGTCCGATCAATCAACGGATCGCCTGACAGCCCTCTGTGATGTCGACGATGCGTCGATGTCAAAGATATTCGTTTGTGATAAAGAGCGCCATCCGATATAAATATTTGAGCTGATAAGCCGTTTTGTTGTTATTAATTTTTGTATAAATATTTGAGCGCGATATTTTCATTAATTAATTGATTCGCAATATACATAGCGCTTTACTATGTATAACATAGCGAGTTTTGCTACGTAATTTAGTAGATCAACCTTTTGGATATCATATCGTTTGCTCCATTTCCGATTGCAACATGGTCATTTCTATGAGTGGAACAAAGAAAGATTAATAAAATAACAGTTGTCAGAGTGAAAAGTTGCAATGACACAAATGTCACTCTTTCTTTTTCCTTTGTAAGTGTCTAATGGAAGTTGTCTTTATCGCACCCATGGCCTATATAACCTATGTTGCGATCAAAAATGGAGCAACCTGTATTTGTACCTACGTAGGAAAATTGGGCGAGGAGAATGAAAGATCCTTTTAATTTGATAGGTAAATTGGACGCGGGGTCCTCAAAAAAGGGACCACAAATAATTCTTTTGATATTTTATTTACACATGCATATTCCCTCTACGCTCCTCTCTTCTGCACTATTCTGATCTCCTCTACTCTCTTCTATATTCTACCTACTCTACCGTCTTCTACAGTCCACTCTACTCTCCTCTCTTCTAGTCTACTCTAGTTTACTATCTTTTATTTTACTCTCTTCTGCAGAAGAGACCATGGTCTCTTCTCCTTATTTCTAAAACTTTATTCTGAATCTACTCTCTACTCTACTTAACTTTACTCTATAAGTAGGTTCTCAACTCTCTTCTACTACAAAATTTCAATCAGCTATACCATGTATAAGTGACTCCTAGGGCTCTCATTCTTTGCAAGTATCTATTACAAGTAAATTTAGCGACCAAAAAACAATTTTCTAATAATCTACTAATTTCTAATTACGCCGATCAAACTTTCGCGGGAAAGTCGCCGATTAGCGAGCTTTCCTTCGATACGCGGTGCGCCGCAAAAACGAGAGCGCCGCGACGCCCGGCTCGCACTTTCGCTCGCCCGCCCCGATCAATTTAACTTTTCGGAAAGTTCCTCGCCCGATCCGCCGCGCGTCGGGCTAATTATTTAAAAGACCCAGAACCGAAATAGCCTTCCCCGTCGGGATTAACTCCGCGTAGCGTCCGCAACGATTTCTTTGAGCGTCCGCGTCAGAAATATACCTGCCGGGATTTACTTTGAGGTATTTTTGTGATAGCGTCGCGCGAACGCCGAGCGATTTATATGACTTTAACGTTGTGTAGAGAGTTGAGACTTCAACGGATTATTATTTATATAATGTGAGTTATAGAGAGTGCTATAACAATACTAAATTTATTATTTTAGTATCTACTAAAATTCGTATAGTTTAAGACTTTCCACAATTTATTTATAATTAAAAAAATATGAAAAATTATAGTAATTTAATAACGTTCGTTACGACATTCCCGAGTAAAAGTACTAATACGAAAGTATCATCGTACGCAACATAAAGTCCTAAAAAGTTCATTGGTATTACATCCTCCAAAAATTGATTTTGGTTTCGTTTTTAGTGAGTAGAACGTTATCGGACACGATAAAGACGGAATCGGGCGTTGGGGTGGAATCGACGGAGCCGGACGACGGCAAAAACGACAAGAAGAACAAGAGACAACGCAGACAGAGGACCCACTTCACCAGCCAGCAGCTGCAGGAATTGGAAGCTACATTCGCCAGGAACCGATATCCCGACATGAGCACCAGAGAGGAGATCGCAATGTGGACGAATTTAACCGAAGCTCGAGTCAGGGTGAGTTAGAAATTTACTGTTATTATTACGGCTATGGTATTTAAAGCGAGCGGAATTAACTTTTATGCATTCAAAGTCAACGAACAAGTCATCCGACTAATGAAATAATTAAAACGGGACCGCGTCTAAGCGTCCAATCAACGGGCCCAGATCACAATAACTCATTTAGCGAAAACACCATGCAGAAACGCGTCAGTATATCATACCACATTAATGAGATATGCATCCGAGCCGGCGCCGTGATATAGTGCCCTTAATTCCGTAGGGACAACTAGCCAGGTACACGTACACACACGGCACATGCACATACAGAGAGAGCGGACGCTGCGGCCTAATCCCTGCATGATTAACACCATAAATCTGGCGCGGATTAGCGAGATCGCCATCGCGGACTGCCAACGTATACTTATATGAGCTATTGCCGGGCGTATGTGTGCGTATCTGCACGGAAATTTCGATTTATACCATCCGGATCTGTCCGCTAGGCTAACGTGCTTTGTCGCATATTTACGTTAGGTGACAACTCGTGGTGCTCGTTAAATTGATCATTTTATTACACACACTTATCTAATTCATGACCCCTTAAATTAATGAATATTAACAAAAATACTTGACACAACTAAAAAATATCTCTCATCATTTCTAATATCTCGATACCATACATCACAAGTTCCTCTTCCCAACACATATCTTGCCTGGCATGCATGCCCCAGTGTTCTCGACATCTTCCGCCGTTCCCTCGGGGCGGGTGGCGGCGAGGCGGGGGCGGCCTCCCGTCTCCGGGCCCCGCGTGGCCAACGACCCATCTAATTGCGGCGGCGGGAATGAAGATCGACGAGCCGCTCTATTGGCCGCGACGCGACGCTCCTGCGAAGGGGTAAACGACGGAACGGCGCTCGAGGGGTCGCTTTAGCCGCCGAGCGGGGGCGAAAATCGAGATCTGCCGCAACCGTTTCCGGGTCTACGGCGGTACGTGTGCGATTGTGAAGGAGAAACGGGATGATTTTAGTGATGGATGTTTGATAGAATGCTAGTATAAGTTTATTACTGTCTACACAATTTAATCTCCCGTACCTATATGAACATACTTCGTATTTTGTACCTAATGCTCAATATACTTTGTGGTATATATCGTTCAAAATATTTACTTGATATAGGGGTAGATTGTTTTGGTGTACCGAAATTCCGCACCAATATAATAATCCATATTTGGGTACCGGTCGTAGAGTAGAAAATAGAGCGTAAAATAGAGAGTAGGTACAGTAAAGAGTGCCTTTAATAATACAGTAAGGAGTAAACTAGAGTGTATTATAGAGTAGAGAATAATGTAGGGATGCAGGGAATTCCAGCGTGGGATTGATTAGTACAGCATGCATCGATCAGGTAACACATTTTTGGTGCAGAATTTCGATATCCTGCACTCTTACACAATTAAATTCATAAACAATTAGAAGCAATCAAGCATCGAGTTTCTCAATTATAAAGAAAAAAAATGATATTTAGTAGTCGAAAGAGACCTAATAAATAAACAGATTCTCCGGCCTGGTGTTTGTTCAGGTAGGTGTTCCACCGAGAAGCGGTCGGAATCAAAGCAGGCGAAGGCACAGATGAACATGTGTAAACATGTGTTAAGTAGATAACCGGTGGTTGTTCACCCTCGTGTTGATATTCTTGTCATCCGATAAGGAAACACGCACTTACATTATGTCCCGATCAAAAAAATTACTGTCTTGTTTGTTATTGGGATTCGATTGAAGTCCGCCGAGGAAGCGATCAATCAATGTGCGTTCAAGTGTGTGTGTAAATGCGGTCGAATTCTTTAGAGGTCTTTACTATTTCTTTTTCCTATAAACTGCTTATTATCGACGACTTTATGTACCAGGCTTCGTTTTAAAATTCAATCAAACACGTATATAGTTTAATGCAATAAAAATTGGCCTCGTTCGCACCCTAAATCACGTCATATCCATTATAACACCGATTTAGTTGTAGACTGCTGCCCAAAGGGAGGGCAAACGAACAACTTAAATCCGCTTAGGCACGTGTACGTGTGAATATTTGCGTTTAATTAAGCTCGATCGGCAATCCGGCTTGATTGATGGTCTTAAAATTAAAACCGTTCCGGTAGGTGGTAAAACTCTTTTAAATCGTATATAGCCTACGGAAGATTTATATCGTATTTTTTACACCAGTTTACTAATACTGGTGTCGCCATTAAATTTATTAATTTTTATATATGATGGTAGGTATTCACGTTCACCACATTTTTCTGCAGTTTTCTATTTATGTGGAAAATACAGAGTAGCGCAAAAGTTGACACTCTTTACTATCATGTTGGAAAATCCTCCCGTTCTTGGTGATGTACTCTCAAACAATTATCCCCTTATCTCGAATGGCGAAACTTGCTGTTCGTTGCTGTAAAAGCGCCCACAAAGGCAGCGGTAATTAAGTAGTTGTCGAATTCGTTAAACGGCGCTTTCTTGGTGACATTCATGGCCTCGACGAGTAATGGACTTGCGAAGGGAAAATTAGATGAGGCGTGCGAATGCGTGGCGTAGCTAAAGCGATTACTGCGCTTCGAATGAATATATGCCGGGGGGGTGTTGGTGCGGAGTTTACGCGTGCCGACGCGCTTATCAAACAGCAATTTCGACGCTGTTTTTATTAATATGGTTAAATTGAGACGTCGCGTGAGCTGCGCGTATATGCGAGTTCTCATGCACCAGGATTTATGATGTGAAGGCGCAAAAATTGCACCCCCTGAAAGCCTTAAAAATTGTGCATGTTGGTAGGTACCTACTATAAATCAGTATTAGATTTCTCTCTATAGCTAAAATTGCATTCTTCTACATTTTGTCTTCTTCGAACATTGGATTAGTTATTTTATTTCATCCTGTTTTGATTTCGGTTGGAAAGTTTATCGGCGAGGATTATTGGAAATTTTGTCACATATGTTTGCTACCGATTCTATATTTGTTCGCTTACTTATTGCATGTACGTATATCATAAATTAAACGCGTTGAAGTTATTGCATCACTGATGTAACGCCATCATAAAAATGCAAAAGGTTGGGATTAGCTTAAGCAATGCACAAATATATGTTTCACTGTTTAAACGGATTTTACGGATGTCTTCATGTTTGCGAATTATATGATGTACGGAAACTTTGCGAAAGCTAATTTTATATGGATTTGATGTAATGCTGTTGATTAAGTGCAATATTTTTATGCTATATTTAATACTATTTGTGTACACCTCTGTATACTATGATGGCTGCGATGAAAAAATTGTGCAGTATATATCATTTATTTCGACTTTTCCTTTCGAAAACCACGCCGAAGGGAATTTTTATTTAACCGGTGAAAAACAGCGCACTAAACGTATTCCAAGGAAACCCATAAATCTACTGACCACTGGATAAAGTTCGGTCCGTCGGAGAAAATGAGGGCCATTTCCCGCATTTAGGAGCTTTCCAGCATCGCGCTCCGAAATCTTTTATACATCGTTCCAGGTGTTGCGTCTTCCACAAGCCGCTCGCTAAGTCCCCGGCCTATTTCAATCGGTTAATTTCCATAACGCAAAATATTACATTATCTATACAGAGGAAGCAAAATAATATTTAGTATTTAGATTCTAAAATTTGGTAATATATGGGTGTTTATTATAAAAAAGTTTAATATTGCCGAAGATCTAAATCCAGATAGAATATACGAATATGAAATAATACGACATTCTTATGTAGGCAAAAAATCTATAATTTTTAGAGGTTCCTGTGGCTATGAAAACATGCAAAAACTTATATTTGAGAAATATCGAGTGTTTGTGTTTATTATGAATCAATTTGATATTGCCGAATCTCTAAATCCAGATACAATAAACGGCAAATAAATTATGAAACGAAACGAAATTCGCTGTGATCCGCGGAAACCGCTAAATCTCAGTTGTTGGTCCTCTAATTCTACATCACATATTTGGCCAGAGCTCCGGATACAATACGGTAAATCGAAAGATAAACATAAAATCCCTGTAACTGCGTATATCACCCGATCGGTTTAACCGTATCGTTAAACGTTTCATTAGCCTCCGTCCTCGTTCGATACCGGGCGATCGAAATTACCGCCGTTTACCCGGGAAAAAAGACATCCGAAAACGGACAGTTTCGGCACGTATCGACGGTTTAATGCGCGGCCTGCCCACGACGACGATCGGGCGTCGGATTAGAGAGCGTCGCGGGACGCCGCAATAAAGCGGGAATCCCCGCCGGGGCGCGTGTGTGCATACGCGTATGACTTGTTAATCAGTCAAAAGTTTCATTACGGCACCCTTGCGATTCGCCGCCCCGCTCGAATCGGTTAGTTTCCGTTTATATTGCCTCGAAAAATCTAATTAAATCGTTACGTTAGACTTTACAAAGTTGCTAATTTTATACCACAATTAAAATTTATTTTCGTTGTTTGGAAACATACTGAAATATCATACTGAAAGGCTGATAATATCATCTCTTTAAATATCCCTTAGAGATCCTTTAAACTAGAAACGCCCTGATGTATATTTGAACATTTCTAATTAGCTAATAATAATAATTTTCATTCACTTCTGCTGTAAACAAATTGCCTCGTTGTCTCGGTGGCTTGTTCGAGGGATTGCAACAACATATTAGTATTAAATAGAGTCGCGTAACGGGGCGTCGCGACGCTTATTCTTATATACAGAGCGGCGGTCGGTCGTCGTCGAAGAGTCGGCGGCGCTTCCACCAGATATCCGGGAAATCCCGCTAGATCCTCGGGGCCTCCGTTAACGGCTCCGGGCGCTCTTCGCTGGAATTTATTTTTAATGAAGCGCCCGTCTCGCCGATTGCTTTCTTCGCTCAGCCAGTAATACGAGCATGTTTCGCCTAAATGATTGTTGCTAAGAAAGTTTGTTGGATTTATTCGAGAATTTACGATGTTCGAATCTAATTAATCGCCTTCCTTTTTCGGCCGGAAAAAGCAATTATCCGTCGGCGTGTACGAGTATATGCGGAGAAGATACGGAGGGTGGCTGCGACAATCGCCGGGCCGATGGTCGTTTATTCGCCCATTCGATCGCGTCCGAACGGTGTGCAGTGATTGAACGGTCAAGCGTGCCGAGCAATGAACTGTACCTAACCGAATATAAATTGGGATATTTGTCATGCCGTTTTGCGGCCGATGGTAATCTGTGATCGATCGCTAACTAACGGGAATCGTCTGTTGCGTTTCAACAAAAGACGATGTAGAACTTAATGTATAGGATTTAGAAGAAAATTTTTACTATAGACCACCGATAATTGTTGATAGTGGAACAATTGTTGCTAATTTACTGATGATGATGATGATAAAACTGAAGATGATTGGTTAACTACTGTCGCTTGACAATCAAGAAACCTAATTAATCGACTAACAATCGTTGCTACTCAACTAGGAACATTAGTTATTGGACTAACTATGGTTGCTAGTGAATAAAGAAATCTAATTAGTCGACTAACAACCGTTGCTACTCAACCAGGAACATTAGTTACTTGACTAACTGTAGTTGTTGGTCAATATTAAAACGTACTTAGTCTACTAACAACCGTTGCTAGTCAACCAGGAACATTAATTACTTGACTAACTGTGGTTGGTAGTCAGTCAAGATTAACAGTTAATCAAATAACAATGGTTGCTATAATAAAAAATAGTACATATGTAGTTAATCGACTAAACAATCGCTTCTACAACCAAGAACCTTGTATTATAGTTATTATAGTTATAGGGGTTATAGTTAAGGAGAAGATTCTGAGCCTCAAAATATTACGATCTGATCCAACTTAAATATACTCATAAATAGCATTAAATTCAAATAAAATGAATTTATTAACAAAAATATAAAAGATACAAAGTGTCAAAGTTGAAATCAAAAAAATGATTTTTCGCAGCAGAATGAAAGATTTTAGATGTACAGAAGTGAAAAAGTGAAGACAGGTGTGTATTTATAGTTTTTTTCCTTTGTTGCAGGTGTGGTTTAAGAACAGGCGGGCGAAATGGCGAAAGCGCGAGCGCAACGCGATGAACGCGATGAACGCGGCCGAATTCAAGACGAGCTTCGGCACGCAATTCAACGGGCTGATGCCGACGATCAGCGATGACAGCTTCTACTCGTACCCGACGTACAACAACTGGGCGACGAAGGTGCCGAGCCCGTTGGGCACGAAGCCCTTCTGGCCGGTGGTGCCGTCCAGCCACCACCAGAGCCCCGTGAATTGCTTCAACGCGGCGACGAGCGTGACCGGCGCCACCATGTCGGGCGCCGTCAGCTCGATGCTGCCCGGCGGCATGGGCACGGTGATGACGTCGGCGCCGGGGGCGGTGTCGGCGCAGCCTTGTCCGTACACGACGCCGGCCAATCCGTACTCGATGTACCACAGGACGGCGGCGGAGCCGTGCACGGCCATGTCCGCCTCCAGCATAGCCTCGCTGAGGATGAAGGCGAAGCAGCACGCGCCGTTCGTCGGGTACTCGAGCGTCAGCCCGGTGAGGTCGTCTTCGGCCGGCCTGTCGGCCTGCCAGTACGCGGGGAGCGGCATCGGCGTGGGTGAGAGGCCCGGCTGAGAGCAGGAGTTGGCCTTGATTGGCCATCTCAAACACGAAGACCAAGATGATTGAGTGTTGTTGGATCGAAGCGGATCGATTTTTCGATCGAGATATGAGTAAGGTTTTTGATTGTTTTTTTTTTACTCACGCCGTCGGGCGATAATACACCCCATAAATCCTCTTGTTAGTCGACCAGCAATAGTTCTCAGTCGACTAAAAAATAATTATTGCTGCTCGTCCAACTATTACTAGTCGACTAACAATTGTTACTGATAGGCTAATAATTGTTGCTAGTCGACTATTAATTGTTGCTGATGGAATAATAATTGCTGCTAGTCGACTAACAATTGTTGCTAGTCGTCAAACAGTACGTTTGTTCCCAAAAATCAATTGAACAGTGCACAAACTAATCACTGATTGTGTTACAAAAAAATCAAGACAAAAGCTTCAAATATTACACAATTTTTAATTAACTGGCCAAACGTTAATTGGGAATAAAGTTATAATTGTTGCACCATGAGCATTATTTTATTTATACATATCTACAGGGTGATCCACTCCACTGCAAACTTCTTTAGTATTACTAACTTCGAATTTCTCCAATGTCCTGGTATATCCGCTATTCAGTTTATCCCTTGCGAATGTTACCCCTGTGTACAGTAATACATGCAAAATTGAATAAATTATTAATATCAAATTTGCAACACAATAATTTTGATCGAAGTTATTGCATAAATAAACTTTGAAAAATTCGATGTCGTTTTGTAAATAAAAATTTATCTTCAACGGTAATTTTGGATGTACATATAGATATCTAAGTAGGGTTTATTTTAATTACAAATGAGAAAATTTCGTCTTCCTATATGACCCTCCTCCCAACAATCAGTATTAATACTGCAAATATTTTTTTTCAATATTTATTTGTAATCTAGAGATAAATTAATTGATAATTTAAATGATTTTTTTATAACTGCACATTCTGATAAAAACAATTAAAGTACTTAGGTTTTAATTCCCAGGAAATGATCAATTTTAATATAGTAGATATGCAGTTCGATTGATACATATAGCTGTTGATGTGAAACTACAATGCGTAATTGCACAACTTAAATTCACAGCTATACCAGTTGGTCTGTAAAAAAAATAGAAAATACTATTTTTTTTAATTCAATTTCACTCATTAAAACTCCATCGATCAATTTTGTTAAATAAATTGGTACGTCGGCGAAATGTCTTTCGATTTCATAACAATTTTTTATTATTTTCAATGTCGTATTTTATTTGTTATCGGTTATGATAATCTGGCTGGAAAGGACTCGTCGAGTGTTTGTCATGTAATTTTTTCGTAATTTTAGAACTCGGAGAGAAAATTAAATATTTAATCGTGTGTTTGAAATTGCACATTTCGCAAATTCGAAGAAATTATCGCAATACGAGAAAAATCCAATGAAAATTGAGAGAATCTAATTTAAGCAATAAAAATATAAAGTTTATTATCTTCGGAAATTTCTTCCAAATTCGCCCAATTATTTTTATATATTAGATAACCAAACTTTTTTATTATTTTCGCAAATTTTATTAGTTTTAATTCCATTTAAGAAAACGCAAAAAGTTTAACAAACATTTTTTAATCTCGAAAAAAATACCAAAAACTCTTTCTGCCTTTTCTTGACATAGTACAAATATAGATGCACTTATTTTGTTTTATTCTAGTACTTACCAAAAATTTGTTTTAATAAGATTTTTTGTTGATTAGATAAGAGTTTTACAATACCATTTTTTGTACATTTACAGGGCTCATTAATCTTACGGCAAATTTCTATATCATAAAATATTAATAAAAAAATTACTTAGTCCACATTTTGTAATTATACAGGGAGTTGTATCATAATTTTTATATTTAGAATTACTCCGTACTCGGTCGTAAGTTTGGTGTACCCTGTGTATTTATTCGTAATTTAAATTGTTATAAAAATGCATTCAGAGCGTAGACTGTTAATTTAGTGGAAGTCAATAAATCTACATAAATTATTATTATAAAAAAACCAAATTATATAAGCCCATATTTCTATGTATCTATTAAGGATTTTATTTTAAAAAATAATAACTAAATTAACAGTTCCAGCGAGTAAAGTAATCAGGCAAAAGTAGGTTTAAGAGGGATTGCGTTTTTCTTCTTTTTCTTCGCTTCTCTTCTATTAATCGAATTAAATTAAGAAAACAGATTTTATACTGTGATATAAAAATCGCTTCAGATGTTCTATTGATTTGCACAATTTAATTTATGCAATCCCTATAGATAATATCTGCCTCTTACACAGCTATAAATATTGATAACGTAATTCTTGACCATTCCTACTCGAGCCGCGTTTTATTTTTCAACTGTACATAAAACGTTCCGAATGAATGCAAACGAAATTGAGATTTGTTCGGGGCCATTTTTGTAGGCCTCCCATTCAACTTGTACAAAGGCTGCAAAGTGCAATGTAATTATCGAACGTATGAATGACGGGAATTTGTTGATTAATTAATTATTTATATTGATAATGTAAATTAGGACGTATAGTGATTTCAGAACGAAAAGTTTAACGTACCTTTAATTCGATTATACTCTGCATATCGTTTGTAATTGTTCAAACATTTTCAACCATCTAGTCACAATAAAAAATATCCATATCAATACTGAGTTTTTATTGAACAAACATCCTTAAATATTCCACGAAATACGAAAAAAGAAGAGGGAAACCTTCAGTAAGTATGCAGGGTGAAATAGATTAGATTATAAAATATATATGGTGTTTCATTTAAAATAGCACAAGAGGAGAATTGAAAAAAAAATGGCAATTTTGCTACAATTTTTTTTTCTCTTTATATTATTAAAGAAAGCATCTTACAGTGACACATTATTTGGCCACCCTTTCTTGCCTATCTTATAAAGTATTTAAGTAAAATGTATTTTTGATTGCGCGCCAAGAAAAGATATACGTAGAACCCGCTCTTACGAGAAGCTTTAGTAGGATCAGAAAATAGTCCTGGTGCTCAGACAAATCCTGCGGTTAGGAAAACCGGGTCTCCTCTATTTTCTATTATACCTATTTCCTTGTTTGCTACAATATAGTCGCTGAAATACACTTACTAATCACATTTTGAGATACTGCAAGAATTTCACAAGGCACTTTTATTCTTATAGTGCATTTAATATTAGTAGTAGGTAAGTAAAGGAGTAAATCTTTTTCGCGCAATCAAAAACTACCCTCGAATAATCCCCGAAACACCAGACTATATTTCAACGGTATGACCATCGGCTATATCCCGGCGAAATGAAGTTTTATTATATTTTTCGAGTCCTATTTGGGGCGTAAATTTAAATCAACATCGCCGGGGCCGACCACGTTCGCATCGAAAACATTAGTTTCCATTAAAGAGCACTCGAATCGCGTCTTGGTTAGTCAATGGAAGTGAAAGATTTATTCCTTGCCGCATCGCCTTTAACAAATGGACCAAATAATCGATACTGATACAGCGACAGCGGGAGATTTATCGCAGGAACACGATACTGCTGTTTCGGTGAGGCGAGCTCGACTCGAAACATGTGGGCGATGGATGGGATGTTTAGAATTATGATGTTATTTTTCGTGGATTTCGAATTAGCGGATAGGTGTAGTAAAAAAAGCTCTTCCCGAACGCCTGGTGCGTGGTAATAAACGCGAAACTCTTGCACTCGAACGAGGTTGAAAGGGAATAATAATAAAAGGGAAATAGGAGCGTCGGAGCGGCTGGAAACTAGATAGAAAGGGCGACATTAAAAGGGCATATCCGACGAGGGAGCACCATCCGCGTGTATCCAGGCAACCGAATGATGCGATTAGTAAATCTTGCGTAATAATTGAAATATCAAGAAATAACGTTATCTCGCAGACAGTTTGTTCTCGTCGAAACACTCGTTTCGGATAATTGAAATGTTTTCCGGAGGAAACGAAACGGGCTCTAATGTTTTAGGTGGATGGAAAGGAATGGAAAGCGCGCTTGTTCGTATGTCTAATGGGATCATCGTTGTACCAATAAATCCCGTAAGTACTTACGTTAAGTACAATTACTGATGGCAAAAGGGAGGCGAAAGCAAATTAAAAGTAAATAATAATATAAATATTTTGTTCTAAAATTTTATTCAGGGTGCTTCGCATGAAAAACGATACATAGCAAAGGTGTAGGGAAGCCTAAAATTCGGTGATTTTGCCAAATTTGACTTTATATAAAGTTGCACACCTAAAAAAGTGAAAGAAAACTTTAAAATTTAGAAAAAAATAGTATACATTTTGAACACCTTTCGTTTATACATTTGCTTGTTTTTCTATACCTACTAAATTTATTATTGCACGTTTTTACTATTTTTTAAATTTGAGATATAATTAGGTTAATTATTTGATCCAGTTTTTATTCAAATACGAGATAAAATTCTAATAGTCTTTCAAAAACGGATCATGCTCAAGAGAGCATCCCAATCAGAAAAAATACTAAAGATTTGTCAATAAATATTAAATAATGCTCCTGTACCAAATTTGCTTCATTTAAGTCAGTATTACTGATGAATTAATTTAGATACAGATGTATATCAAATTGCGAAAATCCGCTTTGAGCACAAGCTAACTAAGCATAAAACTAAGTTAGCTTGAATCGCAATATTTAATGCTCCCACAAGTCCTTGATCTGTATATAAGAAATTATGCGAAACACCCTGTATATGAGTATTTGAGTATTGCTATATTTTTATACAGAAATAAATTCCAAAAGAAATCGACTTTCAACTGAAGGTGCACGAGCTTCTTATCTTTCGATTATTTATAAATCCCCCTACATGCAGCGAAACAACAAGGGGTAGGAAAGTAATTCCGAATAAAATTCAAATACGTTTATTAGAGTAAGTCTGGAATCTCATCAGCGCGGCGGAGCATCGAAAAAATCCGATAATGTAAATAAAATTTTCCGAGTGGCGTTCCGAAAGGAGGAGGGCCCGGAAGCGCCGCGGAAAGACTGGATTCGGCGGAAAACAAAACGAAAAATATGTATAGGGGGGTAGCGTTAGTTTATTTTATATTCCTATCCAAATGTTCGGGGATGGAAGTTCCACGTACAGTCGGCCAGATGGGCGGCAAGACGCGCCCGCGTTTTCCTTGCGCCTTTCCCCGGCAGGATTTCCCAGGGTCGCTGTGAACACACCGAGAGAAATAACAGCGGATTATCCGAGTGCGTTCCCCATGATTAGATTGTAAAATACTGAAAGTGACGTATGCTAGGGGTGGATAAATAAGACACATAAAACTGAAATGAAAACAGATATAAAAATTGGAGGAATGTTGCCATAAACATGTCTTTATCTCTATTTTCTCATATTTTCTTCACGGCATGTCCCAACAATATGCGTTGAATTTGTTATGGAATATATTTTATATGGAAGAAAAGAACAAATATGCAGCTGCATTAATGGAAAAGATAATAATTGAATAAATAATATAAGGAAATAATACTTACCACATTATATCAAACACTAGAGTCACTAGACCAACCCGAATCAAGCTTATCTATATAGGGAATCAGCCCATGGATAAAAAATTAAATTAGTTATAATGACACACCCTGTATACCTAAGATTTTATTAAACAAATCTGCAGCATGTTTTTGTTCAATTCTAACCCTGCAATTTATTCAAAGATTGACATTGACATGTCGTTCCTGTCAAATTTTTGATGTATGAGTTTGATATTTGCAAAAAACCCTTATTAAATAACCGGATAAACAATTAAATTGAATAAATAGAACAGTATCTACAGATTAAAAATACGCCAAATTAAAAACACAAAAAGGAAAACGTACATACAAACAAATTACCCGTTCTATCATTTCGATTAAATACTAAGCCTACTATTTATTCAACATTGACAAATGTATGTCTTTAACTGTCAGATTATTGACGTTTGATTTTGGCATGAGCAAAAAACCCTAATTAAACAGCCGAATAAATAAGTAAAATTGAATGAAATAGAAGAGTATAGAGATTAAAAAATACGCCAAATTAAAAACACAAAAAAGAAAACGTGCAAACGAGCTACCTGTGCGATCATTTCGATTATAGATATCTATATATACCGGTAGCGGGCGCGCATCGAAAACCCATTAAGCTAAACGCGGTGCTAATTTAAGGGTGAGCTTTAAATGCGCGCAAAATTGAAATAAAAAGCTCCGCGGATTTAAAATACAACCCGCGTAACGCGGCTTCCAGATAATGCCGCCGCCGCTCCGGCGAGAGAGAGTTATGGGCCCATCGTTTCGTTCGGTTCTTGACGTACTCCGGATCGCCCGGAACCCGGAATCGACGTATCGCTAATCGGAATCGAGGATATGCAGTCGAGGCGCTGGATTAGCGGAGATTCCGCCGCCGGACGATTATTTTTGCGCCGCTTACAGGTAGGTGGTTAATTTGCTTATTTTTTTGTATATTTAGATATGCAGGTCGATCCATTTTAGTTTGCAATATGGGTTATATGGGCGCGATAATGACAACTTCCATTAGACACCTTTAAAGGAAAAAGAAAGAGTGATATTGTGTCATTACAAATTCACAGAAAATTGTCATTTTAGCATTCTTTCTTTGTTCAACTTATAGAAATTCTTTATGTTTTCTTGAATCTCCTTCAAAATTTGCTCCTTTTGAAGAGACAATACTGAGACAATATGAGACAAACTCTTTTTTCAATATTTTTGTCCATTGCAAAATTCGAAGAGTACTACTGAGATGAATTGATTGAATAAGCTGCTACAACCAAACTGATTGATGCTAATTAAGAACAGTGTCACCTATAGTATACAGAAACTTGAAATAGTAATTTAAATCAGAATTTCCAGGTACTTTTTTGTCAGAAGGTATAGGTAGATAAGGTGAACTAAAACTGACTAGGATATGAAGATCAGCATGTACTCATCTGTATATGAGTATTTTTATCAAAATATTTCCATTAT